TCTATCAATTAATGTTATACAAATATTGTTGCCGTAACTATACTTTTATAGCGTTGAGTTGACTAGAATAGCAGCTATTACGAGTACTCTATAAAACTAGTTATATTGTAGATATTGTAATAATTGTCAATGTTACTACAAGTTTCTCCCAGTGCAGTAACGAATGGTTATTACAATTACTATTTTCAGTAACAAATAGGCAACGACATTATATATTTCCTTATTTGTAATTTAATAATAACGGGGTTACATTTTTTGAATAACGAAAACAAATATCGTTACTTTTATCGTTATTTTTACATGTATTATATGTATGAAATATGCATGAGTGAATTTTACAAGAATGGAGTGTTATGTTTGACCATGCTGTAATTAACCATAACCACTATGTTAGATCTCGTGTTGAAAATAAGTGACAAATGTCACTGTAAAAGAAATTATTAGAATTGATGAAACAATAATAGAAATTGTAACGACTCGTTAGTTTTTGAGTAACGATAATGGTAACAAATTATTTTTTTAAATAAACGAGTAATATAATAACGAGTCACTTTTGAGAAAAAAAAAGAATGGTAATAACGAGTTATAAAGTAACTTATAAAACAACTTTCTCAACTCTCTCTATGTAGTAGTACATTACAAATAAATTCGTAATAAATCCTTTTTATTGTATTTTTCAATTAACTTTTCCGCATTTGGAAGATCGCTATTGCAGCTACGATATTCGTTTCTGTTTATGATTACGGTACGCAATAACGTATCGACAAGAATTGCGGTGGAGTGAGTTCAGTATTTTACCACGGAGAGATGAATCTCATTGCCGGCTCGATGTATTCAATCGCAGTTCGATAGTTTATCTGTTTATTCGTACGTTTGACAAAACCCCTTAGCCCGTTTTCGCCAGAGCGTGAACACGAAATGTGTAAACCGACTGATCCGCCATTATATGATTACACGTGGTACGAGTATCATCGCGATCGTAACAGAAGTCTAAGCGGGTTCATCCCTTCGAACGATGCGAACGAGGCAAAGAGGACGAGCAGGCTTAAGTCTTCGACCTGCGTGTAAGCCCGTGTACGCGTCGATTCTTTTAAACCTCGTTAAGACCCGACTTAAACTTTAATTGAAAGTCTGACCCTGGCGACAGTCGGTGGACCTTTTTTCTGCTGCACAGAG